GTAAAACGTCGGCGGGAACGTTCTATTCGCTCACCGTCGACTCTACGAGCTAATAAAGCCGTTTAATGGGGGAGTTTTCTTTTAACGCGCCCCCTCCCCCTCTAAGATGGCAGCCACCACTCTGAGGGATGCTGGCATGTTTAAGAAAAATACAAATTCGCCGCTTTCAAATCTCTAGTAGTGGAGTATATTTACTTTGGGGCGACTCGACGTTTTCATTTGCGGCTTTTTTCGTCCGGGTAATGAATTCAGCTGATGCTTTTTATGTTGTGTCGTGTCTGCTTCGGTCCCTGGTAAGTTTAATTCATCGCCACCCGTGGAGATCTTCAATAGCGGAATGGTTTTTTTTATGTGAGAATGTGGTAAGCAAGCAGGTGGTTCACCTGGTATTTAGTGATGACCGCCGCCCATGGACATTTGCAAAAACAAAATGTAGACCTTGCTACCTTTTAATAAAGTGGGCATCCGCTACCTCAAACACATACGAAGAAGTATAGCATTTCTATTTCACGCCGGTCCTCTGTGAGGTCGTTGTCCTTGCCTGGATGGATCTGCCCATTCTTGCTACAGCGGTGACTGTTGCGTAGCCCTACCGCAGATGTGTTTCAATAAGTAGGCTCTGGTTGTAATAACGGCGTCATTAACCTGACGAAAAGCGAAAGTATAATGCTTAAAGCGCTCCCGCCTTTTCAGGTAGAAATAAAAAAGGCGGACGTGTTTATTATTCCGTATGGATGTACCGTGAAACCGCTTCCCCCAATAAACTACATGTCACGCGACCGCCACACCGAATTACGGAATAGTTCGCTCCACCGTAAAAGGTCGGCGTCGACGTTCTCACCGCGCCGTGAATGCCCGCCAGTTTCCTCGATGTTATGACGTCACGCGTACGCGACACAAATCGACAGTTTCCGATTGACAGATTAATTCGGACGCCTTCATAGAGCGCCGTCAGTGTTGTGTGAACTCTGTTCGTTCCGCTTTCGAGGCCCAGTTTATTAAAAGGTGGCAACGTCAAATTGAAATGTCCATGGGCGGCGAAAAGCAGGTGTTCCACTCGAGCTCGCTCTCTACCTTCTCACGCAAGAAAAATGACGAGGGACAGTTCTTTTTTATTTTAAACGCTGGCAAGCTAGCAGGCGGTTCAACAGATGTTAGTGATTACCCCTGCCCGTGGACATCTGCAACACCAGCAGGGTTGCAGATGTGTTTGTTGCAAACCATTTAGATAGCGGGCCCCAGTAAATTCAACCACCAGACGAAGCGGGATGTCTTCAGACTGATCTTCTGTTAGGTCGTAACAAGTACGAGGCTGTCCATTTTTGCAACGGCTATCCCCTAATCCCTGCTACCGGCACCAATTAAATGGTCAATCTTATGTGCTGACTTATCATGTGTTCAGCGGTGAAGGAAAACATCGTAAGGAAATTTGCATATTTTCGAAATAATAACAAAAAATTTATATTATGAACACTAGACGATACGTGAAAGTTGTATATTTTCCACTTCACGCCACTCTTCTGTGAGGCCGTGGTACTTCCCGGCTGATCTAAATAATTTTCTGTGGACGTCACGAGATACCAAAATGAGATGAAATCTCATGAATTATTATTTGTACTAAATTATACTGCTTTGTTTGTAATAACATCCTGAAGAAACTTGCATTTTTAGGCGATTGAAAAAATAAAATCGTCTACATTCGTGGTGTTATTCACATTGTTGTCGGAGAAAACAAAAGCGACCTTTCGACCAGCTGTGCCTTGTTTACACACTTGTAAACTGTGTCATTGGGATAATACCCAGTAGAAGAGACTCATTAAATTTCTTTGCTTCTCGTAAGGTTATTGTTGTATATGTGGATGATACAATGTAAGCTTTGTTAAAACAAAAGCTACACGAGGAGCATTCAGCTAATTGGTTTGAAGAATTGAATGCTGTTCTTTATTATTTAAACGATTAATAATTTCTATTTTTCTCCAAAACATTCCCTCGCAATTAACATATTATTCAATATCATTGTCATGAAAATAACTAGTTATATTTTCGTCTAATACAAAGGAGTGACGCAGCAGTGCTAGGGTTTATTGTGGCAGGACCACGCAACCTTATGCGCTTGTGAACGAATGGGTAGATCAATACAGGGTAGTACCACGATCTCACAGAAGACAGGCGTGAAGTGGAGTGAGGTAGCCAGGGCCTACATTATAGAGTGTGTTGCAAATGTGCCACGGGTGGCGGTTGTCACTTACCGCCAGCTCGCTTGTCGCCTTGTCACATAAAATAAGTATCAACTGGATCCAAATTTCGCTCCATATTAATCGTTTCGTTAAGTTAGAGTAGATTAGAAATATGCGTCTAGTCTAAGAGAGGCGCAAAGGTCTTTTGAATCCTGATTTAGTTCGGGCGAGTGATGTATTTCAGTCTCAAGTAAACGAAAATGCGAGTATCAAAGACCCTTACGGGGCATCTCTAGAGTTGACGGGAGGCGCGTATTTATTTAGGCAAATCGAGGGCGCCGGCAAACGGATAGACTGTAATTTTCAATCTTAATACTGTCCCTATTTATTTTCAGCCGACGCGGATGGCTTTCCTCCCCCTGTCGAGCAAATTTTAGTCGAGGCCCGCGCGATTTTAGGTTTATAATGACCTATCAGTATGAACTCTTCGATATTCTTTTGCTTTTTCTACATTTCTTCCCGCATCTCGAGAGGTTTAAAGCGTTTGTTGTCTTTTTTACTTTAATTACATACAGCAATAATGCCCGGTTTCTGAAGCTCTCGGTTAAACTCCGATTCTTTAGTTATCAGCGAATGTATCAATGACATCATTGCCAAATAAAACTGTCAAAAGCTCCTACTAGGTCATTGTCCTGTCGATGACTTTGTTTTGTTTGGGCTGGGTAATATTTGTTCACTTTCTTTGCTGTTCGATTTATTATTTTAGTTTTTTCTTAAAAACATGAAGTTTTGAAAAAGCAGTAAAAATTTTTGGAGAAAGAGTATTTCTCATTTCAATTTTCCAGAAACATACAAATGTGTCCAGGCTCTCCCGTAGCTTTTTAATGTTATGGATTAATCTTAAATTTGTGAACTGATTCAGGTGGCAGTTTAAGGCTTTGAAAATTGCATTGTTAAAGTTATAATCTGGCACCTTGTAATTTAACTCAAAACTAGTCCAAGAAGGTTGGCTTCAACTGAATAAAGCATTTTGCGACAACAGCGACATCGGGTCCTGGTCGGGGTTTTCCCTCCGAGAGGGGCAGGGGAGGAGAGCGGGTGGAGAGGGGGGGGGGTCCTGCGAAAGCGCCTACCGAGGAGCGTGGTTCATTTTTCCGCGAAACTCGAAAGACATCCCTCAGCATCCGTTTCCCGGTAACGCGTCACGTTCGGCAAACAAGCTCGCTGAGGAGTGGGGGGGGGGGGGGGGGAAGATAGAGGAGAGGGGGTCGAATGGGTTCTTCGTCTCCGGACGGTCGCCTCGCAAATAAATATTTCACCGAAGTCCGTATTTACGCGAGCAATACAAACAATACTCTCCCGGGTCCGCGATACGGTCGCAACGATTCCACGTAGTCGTGGACATTCCTTTGTGTACTTTGAATGAATAGTTCCATACATAGAGCGGTTGTGAAGTGTGAACTGCACTGGTTGACCGTCAAACAACATTTAAAAAAGAAAACTCACCCTGTTGCAATTGACTTATTGGAGGCTGACGAAAATTAAACAGTGTCCCAATATGCATTTCCGCCAATCTATTTCTGAATATTCTTCCAAATGGCAGCATATTCAGAAATAGATTTTCTGAATATGCTGCCATTTGGAAGTTAGCTGTATTTATGAGTTGTACTGAGTTTTTGTCTGTATCTCATTGTGTTCCTGAAATTAATAATTCTTTCTTTCTCCCTCGGACTGTCCTGCTTTTTGTTAATCCGCCTGGCGAACCTACTGCGCTATGTAATCGTTTTAGCTGCGCTCTATACGTACGCCGGTTCTGCATCCGAATGAAGCTGAATTCTTCGGTCGCTGCAATGAGCTTGCGCGCTTATAATATTGTTTACCCTTTGAGAAAAATTATGAGCAATATCAGATATGTTTGCCATCTGAGCATTGACTCCGTTCAAATATGTGTGCTTCTACGTTTCTTTATTAATTGAAATATCTAGTTAATACTAATTATCTAACACTGACTGCCTTAAAGGCTTTCAGTTAACTTTTTACAACAGGCATTACTTATAATTATAACTTACGATTACTGCGATCTTTTTTATTATTTTTGTTTAAAGTATATAATTCATATAATAAAAATTAAACAATAATATAATAAATCAATAATTTAAACCAATAAACAATAATTTTGAGTAATTAAATTGTTTTATAAAATTTTATAGATAATTAATTTTAATAAAATGCGCCAAAATACTATCAAACAAACGATATTAAATAATATCAAAGTTTTAATTTCACCAACGTTAATGAGTAATCACTTAACTTATGAATATTTACCCATTTAAAACAGCCGTACGTGCAATAGAAGTTTTCACTTACAATGTATGCGATAAGATATAATGTATGTCATATGTGAATTATTCATTGAATATGTAAAAATTTCGCATATCGAAATTCAATAAAAGTGGAACTCGTAATAGTCTCAGACAGTAGCTTGTAATTTCAACCTTCCGGGATTGATTCACCGAGGCGTTATCCATGAATTTTTCCCGATCCAAAATTGCCCTATTTCTATAGAGCTTTTCACTTCAATTATATGCGATAAGTCGTACATAAATTATTCATTGAATGTTTACAAAAATCCGGCAAATCAAAATTCAATACAAAGTGGTACGAATAGTTTCCGACAGGAGGTTGTAATTTCAACGCTCCGGGAGATAGTCAACGTTAGTTCAGCGAGGCGTCCCCCCAGACCGCGCGACGGCGAATGCATTTCCCGTCGCTAAACAAGCTAATTCGCATCGCTAACCCGTTAGGCTCGCGTTCAGAATTCAAATGGACGCTCTGCTGTCTGTCGTTGGACGTGCTGGTATATTTATTTGTTTGTTTAAAAAATTTGCCTGCCAGTCAACCTAAAGAATGTTCCAAAAAGGTTGTGATAGATGCACATATAAGATAAAATAGTAAGGAATAAGAGAAACGAACAACATAAATAAGGGACTACTTGTATTATAACTTACTAGCGCCCCACCCCGGTTTTGGTACGGGTCCAATTTATTATACATAATAAACCTTCCTATTGAATCACTCTATCTAGTAAAAACAATTGCATCAAGATCCGTTGCGTAGTTTTAAAGATCTAAGCATACATAGGGACAGACAGACAACGGAACGACTTTGTTTTATACTATGTAGTGTCTATGTACGACACAAAATTATAAGCGATAAAAACAGTTGATAAACAATATACAAAGCTGATATATATTCATGTAAATTATGCCATGAATATGTATGTAAATAGATATATAATTACATTACATCGGCAATGAATTTAAATTTATAGAATTAGATACGAAAATAACCAATTTATATATAAATAAATAATTTAACTTAAATTTATAAATATTTTAACTGTAGAATGATGGGGTGAGGTAGAATTTTTATATAAGATGGAATAATTTTTTACATAATAGTCAGAAATGTATTTTTCCTCTGTCGGGGTATTTACGTATAATATCTATTTATTTACAAAAGCCTGTTAAAAGTATGTTTAATTAAGTGTCTATCAAAATATCCTCCTGAGTTCTTTCATTGTATAATTTTTCGTTTTATTCTTATTATTTATTGACATTATTACGAATTTTCATCTCGAAGGTTTAAATTATCATCATTTCAGCCTTTTCAAGTTAGAGTTATAGGTTTCCGGCACGGACTGCCACGAAGCATGATCCTGTGCCTACAGAAATTTTCACTTAAATTATACACGTACCTAGTCGTCAATATCGGTTCTACGAGCTATATGGCCGGCCCATCGCGATTTCAGCTTACTGCTTAATTATCTGAGCTACGTCGGTGACCCTAACAACTAAAAACTATAATATACTTACCTAGTTGTCAATATCAGTTGTACGAGCTATATGGCCGGCCTATCGCCACTTCAGCTTAATGCTTACTTAATCTGAGCTAAGTGGGTGAACTTTATATCAATTAAAAACTATGAATTGTCCACAGTCCTGGAAAGCGGGGACGAGCCGGCAGCCTGCACGAGCAGGCGAACACTGGTGCTAGCCAATCACCAGAGCACCGCGGACGTGCCGATGCTGATGGCCGCCTGGAACCCACGGCCCGGGTTGCTCTCCAACCTAATGTGGATCATGGACCGCGTCTTCAAGTTCACCAACTTCGGCATCGTCAGCGTCCTGCACAAGGACTTCTTCATACAAGCGGTAAGTAGCTTCTGCGATTTGTCTTTTCGACTTCTACTGAAAGCATCCGTGAACTGGACTTTTATGAACGTTTCTGTAATAAGCTTGAGTTAATTTATATTAACCCAAGTTCGCGACGCAAAGGAAAATAATGTATTCCTGTGGTGTTCTAGAAAACTAACATGTGGGTCAATTGTGATGATAATTGGGTTTTTCGTAAATTTTTGCTGCGACCCAGTTGGGTTTTTTGACTTTTTAATTAAATGTACTTATTTAATGGTATGTGTAGAAGGAAAACTTATTTTTTTATTTAAAATAACATTATTGTGATGTAATCAAGACAATGGAAGAGATCACCGATTACACTAGTAGTATATTTGGTAAGAACGGCCATAAATACTTGGAAGTAAAAAAGAAAAGGAAAAGTTTTTAATGCTACTCAATTGCCAATTGATATCTAAATCCCCTACACGATTGGTGCAATTAATCATTCGTAGTGAATAGTGTTACTCCATATTTTTGATAAATAATTCAATGTGTATGTATATTTTATATCATCTGTTTGATAATATGATACAATTTCAGAATTACTGCCCACAGAAATCCATTTTGTTTAAGCACACTGTCATAAATAATAATATGCAATAACTTTTTTATAATGCCATACGTGGAAATACAATTTCGACTAAATTTCATATAGCACGTGATATTTTTGGTTTTGGTAATATATGACCCATTAAAAATTTAATGACAAACAAAGGATAAGTTATCCTCTTTATCGATATCGATAAGTCGAGCTAACTATTAGATATTCTTCTAATGGTAAAACAGTAATAATAACAAGAGATATATTTTTTGTGATGCTATTATCTGAAAAATAGTTTAAGATAGCTTTTAGTGATACTGTTATTGCATTTTTCTTTACACGAAATTTCTGTTACCTCAAATTGTAGTATCCTCAAAGTGAAAAAATAAAAATAGTAAATTCACATATGAATTATCACTTTTTAAAGGTTTTAGAGCGAATATTTTTATTTATTTAGGTTATATCAAGTTCTAGTTCTTACTTTATAAATTTGTAAACTTAAATTTTATGTAAAAAGGTTCAGCTTTATTATTTAAATTCAACTGTTTTTTTCCATACCATTTTCACGTTTGAAAAAAGGAGTTACTGAAGTGGATACTGGAAACAGTATCAGGCTAAAATTTGGCTAACTTGTGTTCCCAATTTCTTCGCTTAGTATTAAAGGGCTGCTCTAAGCAATTCTATACTTTCTACGCTTTCATGATTAACTATTCTGTGACCTTTTCAACTGTTAACTTTTCTTCCTTTACCGTGAAAGATTTCACAGAGGATTGTCTGTGAAATCTTCGTATACCTTTTAAAAGAACTTTGTAACAATTTTTGTTTAATTTGTAGAAACCTGCTTTTAACTAAAACTTTTATCTTTAGTTAAGTCTTCCTTAACTTTTTATAAGTCTCCTACTAATTCTGCCGATCCGATTAATGGTGAATCTGTCTCTTGAGACGGAGCTTTGATTCAATCCAAATTTCTTTAAAAACGTTTTATGATGAACCTAGTATTTTTCTGATCTTTAGGTGCTTATAATATCTACAATATGGAGTTATTTACTATATATATATTTATCCCTATAACAAAGTGTCTATAGTACAAGTTTTGTTTAATTTAGGACTAGAAATCGCTGTGAATAAATGGGCCAGTTGTGCCCTAAACATTATTCATTTAGCATCTAATAGCCCGATGTCATCTCTTCGTTTAACATCTAGGAGTGTTCTGTCAACTGCAATCCACTTTACGCACACCCCACAAATCTACAGCCATTCGTTAATTGCCCGTACCTGCGTCCGTCGATAAGCTTCCCGAAGCAATTTCGGTGCCAATCGAAAATCCCATAAAACAATAGCGGCACGGCCCAGTAATTGCCCGGTCGGCGGCTGGGCCGGTAATAGTTTTGATATTTGACCGGATACCGGTTATAGCGCTTAACGAATCACCCGGGCCGAACGCCCGGGTTTCGATGTGTTTTAATGTATTTACACACAAATTGTGGTTTCCTTTCAGCATTACCGTCGTTGTTTTTGGTTAGATTGTGGCGGGTTCGTGACTAGTTTGTAGGGTCGAATTCCATAAACTTCTGTTTATATGATTTCTTTAATTTAAAATTCATAATTTTCTATCACTGCTCTTTGTACACAATGTCTGGCTACCCTCAAGCCATTAACCAAGCTTATAATTTTATTCTCTATAAGTTTGGTGAAAGGTAAATTGACATCTAGATATGCACTTGATTTTGAACGTGCTTTCTGTTTCAGCTATTGTATAACGTAGATATTATTTTAGGAATAACTTTGCTTATTTAAAAATAATTAAGCCACGATCTGATCTGACTGATCGGTTTTTCCGTGAATCTGCAAAGAGAGGTATCTTAATTTACTCGGTGACGAATATGTCGCCCATTCTCCGCTCTCATTTAAATAATTAAATCACTTCCAACGTGTGCCGCGCGTGACATGTTCGGTGTGGATCGATGACGCATTCATCGGAAAACTTGCAGTTACGTGGGTGTCGACAAACGCCTGTCCTCTCCGCTGATGGATAGTGAATAATTCAATTAATCCATCGATGCCCGCGTTTCACGGAAGAAACGCGCTCCGACAAAGCGCTCTAAGGCGTTGTCACACTAGCGACGTCACTGAATTTATATTTATGTATAATATGTATAATAAATTCTGTTATAACTCCTAATGATCGTTGCTATTGTTACACTGTCGTTTCAATAACTCAATGCGTAAAAGTAAAGCAATAGTTTATATATGTCTCACAGCTGGGCAAATGCCTGCCCTGTAAAGAGAGTATAAGGACATAGGTATTAGGGTAGAGGGTATTAGGGTCGGGTGGTGGACTATCCATTGTAGTAATTTATGGTAATCGTTAACCGACTCAATGCTTCTTTGCCTCAAATATGAGAAATACATGCCTCGATCTGACGAAATTTTGAATTTTTTTTATATTCAACTTTGTACAGACAAACCAAACTGCAGAAGAAGGCTAATGTTTTTCGAATTTTTAACTCAGTCCCTTTTTTTTCAAAGATTCAACTTGAGTCAATAGGCAAAAACATAAAAACAAAAAAAATAAAATGTATCTCCATAACGGTGCAATCATTTGTGATTAAAGAAACCGAGCTATTACGAAAAAGCGGGCATTCCCGTAATAACTTCGACGTCTCTTATATGACGTGTGTTATAGGAGCTACGAGCTGCTGCCCGCGACTAACTGCGTAGAATGGGCTGAAGGCGTAACATTCAGACGGAAACACAGATATACATAAAATATGTATATAGCCTGTGTTATTCTGATGTATAAGCTATATTCATCATCATCATCATCATATCAGCCGTAGGACGTCCACTGCTGAACATAGGCCTCCCCCATTGTCTTCCACTTCGACCGGTCGTTAGCGGCCTGCATCCAACGCGTCCCTGCGATCTTGGCTAGGTCGTCCGTCCACCTTGTGGGAGGCCTTCCTACGCTGCGTTTGCCGTCACGTGGTCTCCACTCGAGAACCTTTTTGCCCCAACGGCCATCGGTTCTTCGAGCTATGTGCCATATTACTGTCAAGTAATGATTATAAGAGTATAAGCTATATTACTGTCAAGTAATGATTAAAAACTTGTTTCGTTTTTTTTATATGTGAAAAGTTGCCAAACGAGCAGACGGTTCACCTGATGATAAGTGAATACCGCCACCCATAGACATCTGCTACACCCGAAGGTTTGTAGATGCGTTGACAACCATTTTGAAAATTGGGCTCCTTTCTATCTGTTGAAACGCGTGGCAAGTGTGTCGCGGGCCTTATATACGAATCGACGGGTTGTCAGCTTGCGCGCGACGCATTGGTCAATCGGCCATTATGACTTTACGCGCGGAGCGCTGCAAACGACCGCCCGCTATCGCTTACCACTCGCCATCCGAATCCGTTCGCTAATTGCTATTCGGCGTCGACGTATTTCAAACTCATTCGCTCAGCAGGAATTCACATTTGCCTAATACGAAAAGTTGGCCAGTGAGCGGGTGGTTCACCTGATGTTAAGTGATTACGCCGCCCACACCTGAGGTTACCTCGTTCACCAGGCGAAACGTAAGTCTAATATATTCTTAATACACTATTATTAGGTGTCTTCTTTATACTTCTACTTCACAGTGGACGGGCCTGTCCATTCGTGCGGCGAAAGAAGCTATGGCATGGCCCTACCAGGTAAATTAGAAAAAGGGGGAATAGGCTGAATTTTTTTTTATTTTTGTTTTTAAAACATTGCCTTCACTTTAGGATAACATTATCCTGCGTTGTAGATAACACCAAGATGCGATACAACTATCTGCGGGTCACACAAATAGTTGTCCGGTGTGGGAATCGAATCCACGATCCCGGACGCCAAAGTCAACACTTTGGCAACTGCCCCACGGAGTTCATAAGTAATTTTTCGACAATGGGGACGTTTGTCGGACTGAGTTTGGTTCAACGTGAACATATTAATATGTTTGTACTCTGTTAAGGCTGTGAGATACGCTATCCCAATAGTGTACATACACGGAGCTGACTTCGAATCTTTAAATACAGCATAACACTGCGGTATTGAAATTAAGAAAACAAAAGCAAATTGTATGTATGGAACTACAAGAGTTCAGATCTAGTTAAGCAATACCTGCGAGTGTTGAATTAAAATTACTGATTTTAAAATCTGATGGTTAACAATGATAGGGCCGCGCATATTCTGTGGCTGTAAAGATGTACAGGCGAATCTAAGGATGCGGTAATATTTTATTTTTATTCTATATTATACTATCACACACCCTACTGAACGCAACATATCTGCCACGTGTCCATGGCCTTCGATAATCGCTTAACATCAGGTTAACCGCCCACTCTTATTCCAACTTTTCCCGTATAACTTATTATTAAAACATTGAAAGTGATCTTATTGCGGTCCATGACATGGTCTGGAGTAGCAATATCTTCGGGATTTAAATTGTAATTTAACGTAATATTGATTGCGTTAAAATTGATTTAAATTTAATCAATTTAAATCAATATTATTTAAATTTATTCTATTTAAAATTGATTTAAATAGAAATCATAAAATCAATTCCATTTCTACGGTCACACACACTCTCCTCTTTGTCCATACATCATTACCGAAATAACCAGTTCATAATTCTCCGTCGACGATAAATCTCGCGAGGAGCGCGGCGGTCAGCCGGTATTTATGTCTCCTGGAAGCATTACTCCCTGTACTGTAATGACTCATATACTATCCGAACGAATATGAAAGAAAAAGTAATACGTCCTCTTAAACTGCACGCAACATTTGACGGAGAAAACTTTGTCTTTGGCGAATTTTAAGAAGATTACTTTGATGATCTACAATTCTACTAGTGTTAAGTAAGTAGTGGCGAATTTATTCCCGGATATTTCAATCGGATTCATTATCGTGAGACAAAATGTGATGAAGGGTTTAGTAGTTGGTTTGTTACACTCTTGAGCCTAGTTTAAATATCGTATTATGACCAATATTTCCTGGTCGAGAAAGTTCCGAACGAGCCTGCCCATCCGTGCAACAGCGGAAGCCACTGCGCTGCTCAACACGTTCACCGACAACAACAATATGATGACGTTTGATTCTTAACAATTATGTTAAGCACTAAATCTACTAGTTATTCCGTGTCGTGTTCTCGCTTCTAGTATGTAGATCAATCAATCAATCAATCAAATATCTTTATTCAATTTATCTTTATTCAAGACGCTTGTGCGTTCTTATGAATCGTCAAATTTTACATAAGAAATTATACATAGTAGGTTCGGTTTCTGTTGAGAAGAGACCGGCAAGAAACTCAACAGTTGCTTTCCAGATCCCTAGTAGACCACAACACAGAAGGCGTCCGCACCGCATGGCACCCGGATTTTACGGGTGCGGAGATTTGCGCTAATAAATTATTTAGGATGTTTAAAACGTTTTCTCCGCCTTTTATCGGCGAGTGCGAGACTAAAACTGTATGGTTTTTGAATTCGGCTTCCATATTAAAATACAGCATGAATCAATGTAATTCTCCAGATTCAGATTTCTCGTTCGGATTTTATTACCTTCATTTCGGTTAATTAATCTCGGAATTTTCAATTAGATCTTGATTACATTTTCTTATTAACATTCGTCGGCCTCCTTTTAATTGATTGAAATACTTTTCCCTTTTTTATTCGGCCCGTTTTAATATAATTAGTGAGATTAAAGTTTTCATTAAAGACTCAGCAATCTATTCGATAGAAGAACACCTTGTTCACAATAGATTCCATTGTGTACACAGTGTTAGAGTGGTGACAAAGGTAGTCACAATTTCAGTACACATCTTCGAGTGTATCTTTTATATGAAGCCAATACGAACATAAAGTTAATTTGTACCGGGATGTTTGTATTGTCATCATTCTTTTATATTGGCAGCATGCCAGTGGGCGCTAGGAAAATTTGCCAGGCGTAATATATGTGTAAAATTTCAATGGTGGAACAATTGCAAGAGAAATATACAGTTTTTTATTCCTTTGCCTTACATTCGTCATCTAAGACAAGTTTGAGTTAAAGTATTATGCTTCGCCTATTAATTCCGTAACGCTGCAACAATCATCAGCATCAATCAGAATACGTGCAGTGCTGAACCAACTCCCATAGAACAAAACCTAGTACATAGGGGGCGATGTTTTCGAAGGGAAGACTACAAGATATCTGTCACAGTAGTCGTTGGGATTTACTCACGTCCGTCTATACAAAATACAAATACAAAATATACATGTGATAAAAAATAAGGAAACCTAGGGTTTACGTGTGTTTGGGCCCACTACTCGCTCTAACTGCTGAAAGGAATTAGGCACAGCTTAGATACTGATCACAACAGAAATTACTTTTTATGCCCGTTAAAAACTTTATTCTCAAAATCAGTAACACAAAGCTGATAGTAAGGTACAGGAATAACGGAATCCCAAAACTCTGCGGTAGGGCCACGCAGCAGTCTCCGCTGTTGCACGAATGAGGTCCGTCCAGGAAAATCACTCGAAATCGGCGTGAAGTATTATACTTCTGCATTCTCGTCCGATGAGTGAGGTAACCCGCGCTCACTTCATTGAAATATGACAAAGCATTTGTAGCCTTATGGGTGCTGTAAATGACCATGGGGCGGCGGTTATCACTTACGCAACTAACTCGGGTGAACCGTCAGCTCGCTTGCCATCAAGTTAATGGAAAAATTTCTTTTTTTCATCACACTCACGCAACACTTTGTCCCTTCTTTATCATAATTATTGATGCGCAACTTTCTTTCCCTTACTTCTTAAATTCGTCTCAATCAGTCACCTGAATGCCCTTCCTTAATATAACATCTTTAACAGGGTTTCAATTTTACTCGACGAAAGTAATGAAAACGATAGTTATTTTTCATCACCTGAGTTTGTTGATCGTTGTTATTATTTAAAACAATAATTACAAAAAAAATTGTTATTTGTTACGATGACATGTTTTTGAAGTGCTAAGTATATCACGCCCGCAAGTTGGAACATATATGACTATTCATGGAATGTGTTTATTACAAAATAATCTGAATATATCAATGGCCGACTGCGCTTTTAATTAATACCAATATCTAAGTAATTCAAAGCGCATGTTAACTCTTGTTATTTACAACTTCCGACGTAAAGTTTAAGGTCTAAACGAGCGTTTAGTGGTCATTTAACCTGCATTTTAATCATCTCGGTGTGTTATAAATATTCTAATTAACACTTTAGTTTTCTAGTCATTGGGTTGAAATTAATTTGTATTTAAGAAACAGTGACTGTCAAGTTAAACATTGGGCGATTGAAATTAAAATTTGAGTTCAATTAAAAATGTTGTAATAAAGGTGATAGAGGAAGACGTTTGCTCGAAACTTTCTGTTTGAGAATTGAAATTTCTGAATGTGAAATCTGTATCTCGTTATCTCCTGCATGAAAGTCTATGCGAATTATCAATCAAAACAACCGTTTAGAAAAGAGATCTGCAAATGGCTATTTCGAGCCGAAGAACGGAATATTCAGGAGGGCACGCTACTGGTGCGAAGCGGTGTTTAAGGTCGCAATTCCAAAGTCAGCCTCTAGACGAACAGTCACTTAATCATTAAATGAACAATCCCTGTATAATCTGTTAGAGGTGTGGTCTGGTCGGCAGTATGCAATATTGGAGCTAAATAAACAGCTGCGCAGCGTACGTGCGGCGAGATTGCCTAATGCCTTCGTGCGTTACACCATCCATCTTAATGCCCCTGGGGTGGAGCAGAGGCAATTTCTCTACGGTCGCTCCAGTCCATTGCCCCTGACTCCCTCTTTATCACGTAGGCAGACTATTAAATAATCTCTACATCACTCTGATGGTTTAGTTGCACTCACATTGTTCGTGGGTTCACATCCTCTAGTATTTATTTGTAGGGCCGAAACATACTGTTTCAGGTGCTATGTTTCACTTTGTATTTAAAATATATTTATAATATATTTATAGCGATCTTCTTACACGTATATGATCGTATGTCAATAGCTTTGCAATGTCTCTTGTTTTGCGGTCTATGCAATCCATACTTAACGTGAGGTGAACCGGTTGCTTAGAAACAAAAAATAAAATAAAAAAGTGTGAGCACGAAAGGTACCATTATCCATAAAAACGGAACATATCAAAAATCATGTCTATTGTATGGGAGCCACACTTAAATATTTTTTGAGTATTTATTGTTATAACGGCAACATAAATATATCATGTGTGAAAATTTCATCTGTCTATCTATCACGGTTCATGAGATACGGCCTGGTAACATGGACACAGACAGCGGAGTCTTAGTAATAGGGTCCAGTATTACCCTTTGGATACGGAACCCTAATAAGTTTTATTTTATCTTGATTTTCTTTATAGATGTGTAATGTCAATTGAATACAGGAACTCAATATTATGGTATTGTTGGTGTAGTGGCTGAGAACGTCGACTTGCATCCCAATCTTTCAGATTCGCTTCAGCTTAGTAGTTAAAACATCTGGGCGCGAATTGAGAAGACGTAGGTTCGATTTCCTCGCAGCGGCATAACATATTCGTTCTTTTTTCTACTTTTATTGCTTCATCTTAAGTGTAGAGATTAACGCTATGAAAAACGTTAAACGTTACGTATTAACTGAGGCAGGGCCACGCAACAGTTTCACGTGTCGCACCTCACAGAAGACCGGTCTTATACTTCTGCGCTTTCTGATGAGTGAGGTAGCAGGGGTCCACTGTATTAAAAGGTGGCAACGCATATTGAGCCCTACGGGTGTTGCAAATGTCCATGGGTGGCGATTATCAGTTAACATCAAGTGAACCTCCAATCCAAAATGATTTACTCATATTACCGTAGTGGATACATAAGTTTATCCTGTACCAATCCTGTTCCTCTTCTCACGGAGACTGTGCTTCTGTTTCTATCGAACAGTAACACCGAATACGTCGATAATTCAAACATTGGTTTGTTACAATAAAAAAAGAACATAATGGCTTAGCGTGTTATGTTGGGAACGATTGCGCTTGTTTGTTTATCATGTACAGTATTGTTACGCAACAAAATCGTGCTTTTATCGCGCGCAGTATGTTTCGGCACGGCGGATTTACGTTTGTGGTTCAAGAGTCGAGATGGAGCAGTTTAAATGGAACCAGTGCATTTCATTAACAAAAAAAAAACAGAACCGACTTAAAATATCTCCACTCATTTTACTTTCTTTAATTTTGAGACGTTCTCCGATATATCTCCGGAGTACATGGTCTAATACCAAACAAATTAATATGGGAGTTTAACAGGAATTGAAAAAGAATTTTTAAAATAATAATAATAATAATAACGAATCACGGGTTCCCCGTCATTTGTGGTTATACCGTTATAAAAAGTGATTGTGACGTCACAGATTACAAATACATGTTTGCATTCTCAATTCTGTACATTCACGCAGAGTATTTGTAATGGTTTTAAGTTACTATTTACTTTACTGCATATATTATATCTCCTCGTCTATTATTAGTTGAAAGTAATTGAGCTGTCAGCAGTTCCGGTTGTAAATGCTGAGTGCTAACCTAATTTACCGATAATAGGGCATACAATTCTTTTCCCTTAAATTGATATATTTTTCTTTTGTTTTTTCGCCATAGTTTTTTTTTATGTACAGATTTTGTTGTTTTCTTTACTGTAGTGGGTATTATTTTTTTTTTTATTTCTTTTGTTTTTTTTAGTGTGCGTCCTTTTTTGGTAAATAAATTTATTTTCTTTCTTTCTAAATCGGAACTGTTGGTCGGCGAACAATTTTTGTAGAAAGCGATCCGCTACCTCCTGTGGCATCGCCACGGCGCGGCGACTCAATAAGATGCCGCTGGTTTTACGGCCTCACTACGGCCGTGGACGAGCAATAAAGCTCGATCGGTTCCGGCCCGCCGTTGGAACCGCCGCGCGGCTAATTAGCCCGTTCCTGGAAACATATTTTAATAGAAGACTTCATACAAAAAACGGGAATGCGCTCACGTAGCAGCTATGAACACAGCCCCTTAAAATCGTTACGAATATCCTGCTTGGTATGGCCACGCGAAAGCCGCCGCTGTTGCACGAATGGGCAGGCTCGTCCGGGGAATTACCACGGCCTCGCATAAGACCGACGTGTAGTGGAAATATTAAACTTTCGCGTTTCGTCTGTTGAGTGAGGTAGCCGGGGCACACTTTCTTAAAGGTTGTCAACGCATCAGCAACCCATCGGGTGTTGTAGATATCCATGGGCGGGATTCTTGACAACTTTTTAAAAAAAAATGTGCTTATACTTATGTACGCGCATGAGAAGCTATACTTCTTTGGCATCATTAAATAATTTATTACAATAACATATTAAAAAGGCCGGAAAAGGATATAAACAATAAAATTGTGAAAGCGCCATCTACATTCTTCATTGAGAACTGTAACGGGCGAATGTGATTGAGAATATGCTGCTATCTATAATAAGCGGTTTCAGTATTCTGTAATAAGCGCTTATGTCACAGTTACAGTGATGCGCGCGCATCTTAAAATTTCACTCCCATCGTTTTTTAATAACGCGCCTGAAGAAGTGTAACTTCAAAAAATATCGATTGTCGGAGTCCAATCTGACTCCTGTCCATCGGAAGCCGGCATCCCTGGCCGCCGTACAGCGCGACCGTCGTCAATGGAGCGGCTAATGAGTCACAAGGCCCGTGAAATCTCTTCCCGTTTCCTCGGCGCGTCGCGTACGCCGTTTTATTGCGAACAGCTGTTTAGAGACCGTTTAGTGCGCGCGCGTAATTGTGAACACACGCTGTGGATCATGAATATTGCGTCCACATATACTGATTAGTACCCAAATGTGATCCAACGAGAAGAACCCTAAAAAGTTTTAAGCGTCCTTTTCGCGACAGGATTTTAACTAAGAGAAGGTGCAAAAAGACATCACAATTTTTTTTTTATTCAAAACTGGCCAGTACTTGACTGCCATCCCACCTGATGGTAAGCGTGGTGGTAATCCGTGGTGGTAAGCGTGCTAGCTCAGTAGAAACCTATTCACTCTTGCCTTGAAGACGCCTACGTTGTATTCGGACGGAAAGACGGGCGACACAATGACGCACAATAACAAGTTAACACTGTCTCTTGTGCAACTTGGCAGCTCCTAAGCGACAGGTGCGCTGCCGGCCTTGGATATGGTTAAATCGAAATGCAATACCAGAAACCGAAATATATACTTGGCTCGAAGAAAGAATTTTTATCAATATTTTCCTGTAATTTCAGTTTGAAGAGGTAGCTTCTTTTCCCCGCCCCTCTCGAAACGTCGTTACTTGTTGAGACGGTTGCTTATATAATTCATCTCCGCATGTTCATTATCGTGTGTCTGTAATAGAGCCACGCAGCAGCTTTCACTGTTGCACAATTGAGCTGGCACGTCTAGGGCTTCACAGAAGACTGTTGTGAAATGGACCTATCATACTTTCGCGTTTCATCTGGACCCATTTTTTAAAAAAATAATCTAAGGTATTGCAATTGTCCATGGGCGGTGGGAATCAGTTAACCTGTTAAATTAATATATTTTACGGATTTTATTGCTTTATTTAATTTTGATTATAAATTAATTTTGATTAAAAGTTCCTAACGTTTCGAACTCTTTACAGCGTTCATGATCACGGGACAAGTGTTGAGTTGTTTAACGTCCTAATGTCAAAGTTAGCCATCTACTTGCTTGATAAAAAAATGGTAGTATAAATACTCCGTAACACACTGTTTTAACACGATGTGAGGCCGTGGGATTCTGTCTGTGCCTTCAATCCATTCTAGCAAAAGCGGATCTGGACTCAATATATTTCCCTGACTCTTACTTTTCTATTCAAATTCAAATATCTTTTAATGTAGAAGTATTAGACTTTAAAATTTGTAGAAAATTGCTTCAAATGCTAAAAAACAATGTAGATAAAAGACGTTAAGATTTTCGTCGGTGTGGCAATCAGCCGTTTAGCTTAGTGGCTAAAGCGTCAGGCCGCGAATGCCGAAGACGTGGGTTCGTTTCCCACAGCGACACTCTTTTCGTACTTTTTCTACAAATTTTAATGTTAAATCTTAAGTGCAGAGATTAGCACTATAAAAAAATTAAAGTTCTAAGTATTACACTTACTTATTAATTGTTAAAAACTACTACCGATTCGGAACTGTGTACTGTTCATTCACAGCTACCACTATTCGGACGGTGGAGATCTTGATGATGGAATGATGAATGGAAGCTCTGGACACTCTAGCCCTATGGACTAACATAAAAGTAAAGTGGATAGTAACAGCCTTTAAATGTCCCACTGCTGGGCAAAGGACTCTGTACAGAGGGTATTAGGGCAGATTCCACCACGTTTTTTTTGTTGTTATTTCGAATATACGCTCGTTTCCTCAGGATGTTTTCCTTCACTGCCGAGCACGTGATAGTTCAGCACTTAAAATTAACAATTTCATTGGTGCTGGAACCGGGGATCGAACTCGGGTTGCTCGAGTAAATAGAATTAAAGGTGAGCGCCCGGACACTGAGCTATCATGTACTTGGTGATGGACATGGTAATCGATTATTACCTCATCTCTAGAGAATGTGTTTCAAATTTATTTCTGCCGTCGTATTTGTGTCATTTGTCTCTCGTGGTTCGCGAACAACATTTAGCTTTCTTAGTTATTTCTTATACATTGTCCGTGAAACTTTTGGGAGAAATTGAGCAATTTATTCACTCCAATTGAAATAGAAATCTTTTAAAGTTATGTTTATACTGCTACTCTGTTAATGTAATGAAGACTATGTAATTGATTACTTTATTAATTTGTTATTGTT